GGGGGGGGCGCTCGGGGCTCCCCCCCCCCCCCCCGCCGCAGCACGGCGGCGGCGTTCCCCACCTGACGAGCGAAAGAGACGGCCGCCCGACGTCAAGCGCGGGCGCAAAGCGCGCTCCCGTTGACGCCGGCGGACGGTCGCTTTCATCGACCGCGTCGCGCGCCTTTCGGGACTTACGCCGCGGGTGACGTCGCTCCATTCGACGATCCTCCGTTTGAGTCGGGCGGTCAGCCGCCGTGAGCAAAGGCGCAGCTCGGTCACCCGCGTCCAGGCGGCGGCCGCGGAGGCCTCCCGGGGCCCTCGGCACCTCTGCCGCGGGCACCACTCCTCCATCTCCTCGAGATGCTTCTGCGCACGGTCCAGATCCTCCCGCAGAACCTGCGGCGGGGAGCCAACAGAGCGCCGCGGGTCAGGTCCGAGGCGCCTCGCCGCGCGGCCGGCGCTCCGATGCCTACTTCGAGCTTTTGCAGCCGCTCGGCGCAGTCGGCCGGAGAACGGAGCTCCCGAGAGACAAAGTCCTCAAGGCCGGCCTCGGCTTTCCTCACGCTTCGACGGATTTCTTCGTGGGATTTGGTGCATTTTCTGTGGCTTTCTGCACAGCTGTGAAGCAAACGTTTCATCGGTTAGCGCAAAGAATACCCCGGGCGGGGTCGCGCGCGTACAAATGTCCGACCTGCTGAGATTCTCCAGTTGAAGGTAGCCTTTCGCTTTCAGCGCGGACATCCTGACGAGGAGCCGGCTCAGAACAGTCTCTTGGAGACGCTCCACCTCCGGGGGGGACAGGAGAGGATGCGGGACGACTCGGCTCAGCCGGTCCAAGTGAGCCTGGAAACGATCCTCCAGCGAGGCCAAGATCTGCCGGGTCTCCTCCAGCTCTTCGTGGCAGACTCCGGCCAGCGCGGGAAGGGGCAGCAGAGAGACCTCGACGTCACTCAGGAACCGCAGCGCTTGCTTGACAGCGCGGGCGTAGTTGCTCAGCGACGTCCTCGCCTCGCAAATGCTCTCCTGGAACACAAATGGGCACGGCAGGCTGTTACGTCGGCGCTCGTCGCCAAATGCAAAGCCGAGCGTGATTGGGGGTGGGGGACGGTGGAGAAAAGTGACAGTGCTTCCAATGACCTCCACGAATGGACAAAACTGACCGGATACAATGAAAAGTCCTCTGGATGGGCAGTCAAACCTACGAGCGCGCTTGTCAATGTGAGAAAAAAAAGTAGAAAAAGCCCACTTGCCATTTGTGAGTCACATTCCCGCAGAAGGCGATTCTTCAAGTCTTGGAGATCCGCCCATTGGCTTCCTTCCTCGTTCCCCGAACTATCCCGGAGGACCTCCAGCGCTCTCACGCGTGACTCGACGGTCGTTTTCAAAAGCAGCGCTTTCTGGAATTCCTTGTTCACGCAAGCTTCGTCGGGCGTCATCGGCGCGGGGTCGCGGAGCTCCCGGCGGGCATCCCGCAGGAAAGCGCGCAGAACTTTGCTCTCCGAGTCGAGACGCAGCCCTCGAAGCAGGGAGCGCTCGACGACGCCGAGATCCTCGAGGGTTTTCCCCCGCGACTTTTCAAAGCTCTCCTCGGCGCGTCGAAGTCTCTGTCGCTCTGAGCGCAGCTGAGCGGGCTCCAAGTCGGTCGAGATCGTCTGGAGTTGAGCGCCAACCTCCTGGCAAAGTCTTTTCATCAGGGGCAAGCGCAACAGAAGCTTCTGGTAGGTCTTGTAGCGCTCTTCCACCGGTCTGACTTGTTGGGTCTGACCGAGTTGTTGCTCAACCGCCTCTGCGAGGTCCTCCGCGTTCATCCTCATGCGGAGGTACTTTTGGTGCTCTCGGGCCCTGCATCGCGCGCTCGTTAGTTTGTGATGAAGTTCGGCAGCGAGCGAGTACAACTGGCGGGTCTTCTCTTCCTGAACCCGGGGCTGGAGAAGGTCAAGCTTGGACTGGTGCTCCAAAAGCGCGCCTTCCAAAGACTCCAAAGCGCGCAGGGATTCGGCGGTGACGGGGAACCGCAGTCGGTCCAGCCGGTCTCGCGCCCGCGTCAGGCTTTGCTCGACGGCAAGAAGCTCCTCCCCGTCGGAGTGGACGGACCGGACGTGTTGCTCCGACTCATTCCTCTTGGCCCTTTCGCGGAGGATCACGGCGTCGATGTCTTCCCGGAGGTCGGCGAGCTCGTCGAAAAGCCGGCAGTTCTCGGCGACGCTGAGCTCGGAGGCCATGTCTTGACTCTGCACCAAGAGCGCCTCGCAGGCGGCGGACCGCTTTTGCGCCTCAACAAGCGACTCGCGGCTCTCCCGACCGCCGGGATCGGTCACCGATTCCGTCCCGACGGCCTCCGACGTCTCTCTTCGCAAATGCGTCCCCAGCCAGGAATCGAGATCCGCAACGCGCTCCCACAGTTCTTCTCGGAGCCGCAGCCCCGATCGGACCCGGGTCACGGCCTCGGACAGCGTCGCGGCGACCGACTTTGAGCGTTCCTCGAGCAATTGGAGCACGGAGCGCATGGCGGGCATTTCCTCCGTTTGCTCCAGTTGCGGCAGAAGTTCCCTGGCCGCCTCGGCGCGGGTCTCCAGGCGCCCCCGTTCGGCCGCGACCCGGGAGCGCAGTTTTTTGAAGGCCCCGAGCTGCCGGTGAACCTCCTCGGGGAGCAGAGGCACCCCGCGGCGCCGGGCCTCGACGGCGCTCTCCGTCCGCTGAGCCCACGAGAGGCCGTCCCTCCCCAAGGTCAGAATTTGCTCGGCGACGGGATGAGCGCTTTTGTGGATTTGCGAGGCCACCCATTCCTCCGTCAGACAGAGTTGGTCCTTGACGTTCAGGAGAGCTTTGGCGATCTCGTCTCGTTCTTTCGGCCACACGTCGGAGGTCGAGGCCTCCGACGCTTCCTTCAAATGCTCGTATTTGACGCGGGCGGCTTTCACCTCGGCGTGCGCGACCAACAGCCGCTTTGCTTTGTGGCAATCCCGCGGGGGGCCCTCGGGGGCTTCGGCTTCAAGCTCTTGACCGATGGACTCCAAGCGTCCGCGCAGGTACGAGAGCTCCAGCAAAAGGCGGCCGCAGCCGCGGGAGCGAACGTCCGTCCGATGCAGGGCCTTTTCCGCGGCTCTCTCCAGGTCTCTCCATTCCTGGTGTCGGGCCCGAAGCGTATTCGCGGCGGCCGCTTGATGGGCGCGGCCGAGAAGAGGGCGCAGCTTTGCGTGGACGGCGAGCAACTCCGCGAGGACGCCGCGTTTCTCCTCAAGAACGCTCTTGGCGGACTTCAAGCGCTCCGCCTCTTCATGGCAGCTCTCTGCTGGTGAACTGCGAGAAAAAACAGTTCAGTCCACAACTTTGACGGTCCAACAAATACGTGACGCGCGCCTTTGTCAGTCCGGTTCACGGGAGCCGGACTGACCATGGCAGTAGCCAGAATTATCGTCTGCGTTTTTGTTTGAATTAATCAATCGCTGCCCTCGTTCAATCAACTTTTCCCATCTTCTTCTGATCTTTGTTGTAAAGGTGTCCGCTTTAGATTTTGGTTCCTCTTCTGCGTGTCGCCTCGTCTCCCGAGCTATTTTGTTTCTTTCTACCTCGTCTTTCTTCTACGCCTGTCAAGTTTTGGTTTGGTTACTTTCCGCCGGGCACGGAGCCGCTTTGCTTTGTCCTGTTGCGCGTGTTTGGGGCCCACGCGGCAGAGTTCCTTACGACCAGTAGCATTCTTTGTCGGGCTTCTATTCATCTCTCCTTTCGCATGGTCTTATACGAGGTTATTGTTTTCCCGCTTCCTGTCTTGGATCTGCCCATCGACTGGCGTGGTTTTTCGTTTCCGCTTATATCATCATCATCGCTTACGTCGTCGCGCTCACTGAATTCCTTCGAACAGCGTTTGCTTTGCTATTATTTCTCTGGCTTGGGCACCGATATTCAGTGCGCTCATTTGGGCCAAAAGCCGAGTGACGCTTCACTTCCCGTTCATTGCCGTGGCAAAAACGCCACCGGCAATGAAATGACTGCACAGGGGCGCGGAGAGCCTCCACGTGATTTGCGGCTGTTTATTTGCACAAATCTAAAACGAGAAAAGTCGCACGGAGCTGCCGCCGCGGGCCGGAACCCACGCCGGGCATTCACACACACACGCGGAAGTCGCCGAACTTACAGCCTCGACACGTCCAGTTCAGCCGCCAGACTTTCCAACGTGGTCTTGGCTTTGAGGTTTTGGCCACAGAAGTCCTCCACAACCTGAAGCTGGTCCACTTTGTCTCGGACGACGGCGGCCGCGTCCCGAGCGGCGGCGCTCCACCGCTCCTCCAAGTACTCCGGAGCGTCAGACCCGTCGGCGTCGGCTTCCCTCTGCCGGCGCAGCAGCGCCGCCCGCTCCTGGGCCACGTCTCGACACTTCTGCGCTCGGGGAGGCAAAACGGGGCTCGTGTTCATTTGGAGAAGCACCACGCCGGCGTGCATTTCAAGTCTCACCTCAGCCTCCGTCACCCGCCGCCTCATAGGGGCGAGATGGAGCTCGGCCGGGCGATCCTTACAGCTAAGAAGGTTTGACACGAGGCCGCGCAGGAGACCATCCGGGTCGCTGTCGGGGGAGCTCATCAGCTCTGCCAGACAATCCTCGCACGAGTCCTAAAGCAAGACGGGTTTGAGACCGTGAAGAAGCGTGTGTCTTTTATCGGTTTAGTCAATGAAATCCCGCGTACCTCATCGCGGAGCTCCGCGTCCGTGTCTGCCCGGATTTCACGGAAGATGTCTGCCAAGCGAGACCTTTCTGGCACGTCGTCATCCAAATGGGATGGCTCCGCCCTGGCTCCGCGGTTCCCAAAGGCGCTCGCTGCGGCGGCCGCGTGGCAAACATCTTGCGGTTCAAGCCCGACGACCTTTTCAGTTTCCTTTTGCGCCGATGTGCCACCTCTCAGA